AGAAATTTATATATTTATATAAATAATAATAATTAAAATATATATAATAATAATTATTTTTATATATTATTTTTTTAATAATTATTATTAATTTAATTTTTATAGGGGGAAAATATATATGATAATTATTTATTTATTTTTAAATTATAAATTAAAAAAAATAAAAAAGAAATTAAATTATAATATAAAGATAAATTAAATTAAAATTTTTTAAAATTTAATATATATATTTAAAAATTAATATTATTTAAAATAATTTTTAAGAAATTTTTTAAATTTTTATAAATTTTTAATAAAAAGATATTTAATATATAATTAAATTTATAAAAGAAAAATATTATAATTTTTAAAATAATTTAAAAATATAATATATAATTAAAAAAATAAAAATTAAATAAAAAAAGATATTAATATAAATTAAAATTTTAAAAAAAGGAATATAAATATATTTATTAAATGGGATTAAATAATAATATTATTATATAATAATTATATATATATATATATATATATATATATATATATTTTATATATATAATATATATATATATATATATATAAAATATATATATATATTTAATATTTATAAATTAATTAAAATATTAAATAATTTTTAAAATTTCATATATTTAATATTTTTTTTTTTATGTTATATAAAAAATTTAAATTTTAATAAAATTTAAAAATTAAAATTATTATAAAAAAATTTATTTATAAAATTATAATTTTAGATTGATTTAAATATTTAATTTTTTAAAATAAAAAATATTTTTTTTTTATTAATATTTTAAATTATTATAAAATTTTATATATATTTTTAAATTTAAATTTTATTTAAAAAATGAATTTTATTAAATATATATATATATATATATATATATATATTTTTAATATATATATATATTAATATATATAATAATATTTATATATAAAATATTATATATATATATATTTTTATATTTAAAATTTTAATTAATTAAATTTTTAAATAAAAAATATATAATTTAATATTAATTAATATTTTAAAAATCTTAATAATATTTTAAATAAAAATTTAACCCCACTTTTTAAATGCACATTAACCCCATCTCCAGGGACATTATTCCCCTCCGGCTATCCCCTTTTCTGACTCTAAATGAACTTGCAACCCCAAAGCAGTCAAATTAAAACTTTTTCTCCATCACCTATAACCCCCAAGAAAGCCCTGAAACCAACCTCCTCCCCCTCCCAAACCTTTACCCCCCCTCCCCCTCCTTTCCTACGACCCTACGACTCTTCACTCAAAATGTTTCCTCGAGTTATTCTTCCGCCCCAAACTCCCCAAAAATTAACCCACCTAAACACCCTTTCAACTTGGAAACATTTAACCCCCACCTCCAATTTCCAAATTCATCTCTGCATTATATTCACACCACACATTGCCCTCAGAAAATGACACTCCACTGCCTCCGCCTTCTTCCTCGCTGCAACATTCATCACCCAGCTCACACCCCTATAAGAGCGTTGGTAAAAACTATACTCTCATACATTCCCCTTTTGCCTCCAAGGACAAAGGTTCTTTGTCTCCACAGACTCTAAGTGCACCACTCACCCTTTTCCCCTCATCCCAAATTTTATGATTCACTCATCTTTCATAGACCCATCCGTGACATGTCCACTCCCAAATATCTGAATACATTCACCTCCTCCATACTCTTCCCCCCCAATCTGATATCCAATCTTTCATCACCTAATCATTTTGTTATCCTCATAACCTTAACTCTTTCCTGTATTCACTTTCAATTTTTTTCTTTTGCACACCCTACCAAATTCATCCACCCAAACTCTGCAACTTCTCTTCAGAATCTCCCAAGAGCACAGTGTCATCAGCAAAGAGCAACTGTGACAACTCCCCTTTTGTGTGATTTCTTTTTTTTTTAACTCCACCCCTCTTGCAAGACCCTCGCATTTACTTCTCTTACAACCCCATCTATAAAAATATTAAACAACCACGGTGACAGACACATCCTTGTCTAAGGCCTACTTTACTGGGGAAATAATTTTTCCCTCTTTCCCCACTACTCTAACTTGGCCTCACTATTTCCCCGTAAAAAACTCTTCACTGTTTCAGTAACCTACCTCCTACACCATACACCTGCAACTTTTGCACATTGCCCCCCTATCCACCCTGTCATACACCCTTTTTCCCAAAACCATAAATGCCACAAAGACCCCTTTAGCCTTATCTAAATACTGTTACTTATATGTTTCACTGTAAACACCTGGTCCACACACCCCTACCTTTCCTAAAGCCTCCTTTTCATCTGCTATCCTATTCTCCGTCTTACTCTTAATTCTTTCAATAATAACTCTACCATACACTTTGCCAGGATACTCAACAGACTTATTCCCCTATTTTTTTTGCACTTCTTTATCCCCTTTGCCTTTATACAAAGGAACTATGCATGCTCTCTGCCAATCCCCAGGTACCTTACCCTCTTCCATACTTTATTAAATAATTGCCCAACCACTCCAAAACTATATCCCCACCTGCTTTTAACATTTCTATCTTTATCCCCTCAATCCCGGCTGCCTTACCCCCTTTCATTTTACCTACTGCCCAAACTTCCCCCACACTCACAACTGGCTCTTCCTCACTCCTACAAGATGTTGTTTCCCCCTTGCCCTATACACGAAATCACAGCTTCCCTATCTTCATCAACATTTAAAAAATTCCTCAAAATATTCCCTCCATCTTCCAATACCTCTAACTCTCCATTTAATAACTCTCCTCTCCCATTTTTAACTGACAAATCCATTTTTTTCTCTAGGCTTTTTTAATTGTTAATCTCACTCCAAAACTTTTTCTTATTTTCAACAAAATTTGTTGATAACTCTCACCACTCTCTCATTGCTCTCTTTTTACATTGCTTCACCACTCTCTTAACCTCCTCTTTTTCCCATATACTTTCCCTCCTTGCATCACTTCTACTTTGTAAAAACTTCTCTATGCTAACTTTTTCTCCCTTACTACTCTTCACATCATCATTCCACCAATCGCTCCTCTTCCCTCCCGCACCCACTTTCGTGTAACCACAAATTCTGCTGAAAACACTACATTTTCAAACCTACCCCATACCTCTTCGACCCCATTGCCTATGCTCTCATTAGCCCATCTATCCTCCAATAGCTGTTTATATCTTACCCTAACTGCCCCCCTTTTAGTTTATAAACCTTCACCTCTCTCTTCCCTGATGCTTCTATTCTCCTTGTATCCCATCTACCTTTTACTCTTATGTAGCTACAACTAGAAAGTGATCTGATATATCTGTGGCCCCTCTATAAACATGTACATCCTGAAGTCTATCAACAGTTTTTATCTACCAATACAAAAATCCAACAAACTACTGTCATTTCGCCCTACATCATATCTTGTATACTTAATTTTCCCCTTTTTCTTAAAATATGTATTACCTATAACTAAACCCCTTTCTATACAAAGTTCAATCAAAGGGCTCCCATTATCATTTACACCTGGCACCCCAAACTTACCTACCACACCCTCTCTAAAAGTTTCTCCTACTTTAGCATTCAGGTCCCCTACCACAATTACTCTCTCACTTGGTTCAAAGGCTCCTATACATTCACTTAACATCTCCCAAAATCTCTCTCTCTCCTCTGCATTCCTCTCTTCTCCAGGTGCATATCAAATACACGCTTATTAGTAAAAAATGTAGCCACTGTATTGTGAATTTTATTATTGTAGCCAAGGCACTATGGATTGAATTGTTGTAGCAATAGTATTGTGGCTGATATTGTTGTAGCAATTGCATTATGAATTGAATTGTTGTAGCAGTGAAAGGTTATTTGTGGCTGGTATTGTTGTACCAATGGTATTTTGGCTCAAATTGGCTGGTATTGTTGTAGCAGTGGTATTGTGGCTGGTATTGTTGTAGCAATTGCATTATGGACTGAATTGTTGTAGCAGTGGTATGTTTGGGCTGGTATTTGTTTTTTTAAACATTGGTATTGTGGCTGGTATTGCTGTAGCAATGGTATTGTTGTGGCAATGGTATTGTGGCTGGTATTGCTGTAACAATGGCATTGTGGCTGGTATTGTAGCAATGATATTGCGGCTAGTATTGTTGTAACAATGGTAATGTGGTTGGTACTACAATGACAGTGGTATTGTGGCTGGTATTGTTGTAGAAATGGTACTGACTTAGCAGGTTGGGATTGTTTTGGGGGTATTGGTTTTGTTAAATGGTACTGACGTAGCAATTGTATTTTGGCTGGTATTGTTGTAGCAGTGGTATTGTGACTGGTATTGTTGTATCCATGAAATAGTGGGTATTTTGTTTTTCACCTCTGTCAAGGTATTGTTTTGAGAGGTTTTGGTTAGGTTGTCAGGACTGACCACCTCAAAACAACGTCTTCAAGGGTGATGGACTGATGACATCGTCTTAACATCTCCACTGCTACTGCTCACTCTTCTGTACTCTGTAAAAATGTTGGTAGAATTACCGACAATATGTAAAGTAAAAGGACACAAGTGCAACTAATGTGACGTTTTTATTGTGGCAACGTTTCGCTCTCCAGGAGCTTTGTCAAGCCGTTACAAACAGTACATGGACACAGAGGGTATATATAGGCTCAGAGTAAGGTGTAATACTAGTGGTAGTAGTAGTGGTAGCGATATAAGTTGTATAGTAGTAGTAGAAGTGTTTCGGGATACCGATGTCTAACTGTTGCACATGTGTCTTATAAACCTGTCGGTACTGTATACCTTTTTAATAATCAATTTGCGTTAGCTCTACTAACCTCTGCTAACCTACAGAACTTGTTTCATGGAGTGAATTGTAACGTCAAACCTCTCTTTTTCAAGGAGTTGGATTCCAGAACCTGTTTTGTAGTTTGAATTCAAATATCCGGCATTTTCCTATCACCTAGATGACTTTATGAATTTCATGAATCTTTTCATGGAATAAGAATTAACCTTCAGTCTCGTTCTTCCACAGAGTTGACTTGAGAGACAAGCCCAAACACCAGCCACTACCCATACTCAAAAACCGGGCCAAGTTCGACATGACCCCTGGTCATTCTGGTCTCAAACTACACAATGTTTGGAGCTCTGATGATGGTCTCTACCGCTGCCGAGTAGACTTTAAGAAATCTCCGACCCGCAACTCAAGGATCTACCTCACTGTCGTAGGTGAGTGCAGCTGATACGTACCTAACTGTTGTCACGTGACGGAGGCTCCGTCCTTCGTTCGCTGAGTGTGAGGGAGATCATGCGGGTTGGTAATGCTTGAAGGAATGATCGCCCCTGCAGCCAGGTCTCAGACCAGTCTGTTTGAAGTTAAGAAGGAACATTAAAAATATTCCCCAGAAGATAACTAATAAATCAGTCAGTAATTGACAAGATAAATGATCAATAACCCTAATAGACAATGAGCCCCACCGCCATTAATAATAATAATAATAATAATAATAATAATAATAATAATAATAATATAAAAATATATTATTTTATTAAGAGTACTGCCACCAAGTTATTCACTGAGAAAGGGCAGAATTACTCCCGGAAGTCAATTACTTCCTGCGGGTGATTACCTCTGGAGGGTTACTGATCTTAGAGGTGATTATTCCTGAGAGTAATAATTCCTAGTTAACCATCATTACGACATGAGAACGGTTAATTTCCATCTTTTGGTGTAGGTTATTTGAGAATCAGGGAATTGTTGTAGGTAGACACAACTTACTGTGGACCTCAGAGTAAACAGGTAGACACAACCTACTACGGACCTCAGAGTAAACAGGTAGACACAACTTACTGTTGACCACAGAGTAAACAGGTAGACACAACTTACTGTGGACCACAGGGTAAGTAGGCAGACACAACCTATTGTGGAGCATAGGTAAACAGGTAGACACTTGTGTCAAGTTTACATTCAAACAGTTACCGTGAACAGTAAATTAAAATAAGAAAAATAAGAAATTTTGGGTAAATATCCCGGGTGAATTAATTACCGAAAAAGGTTTAATTACCCAGAGGGAAAATATTCCAGAATTAACTTATTTGCAAGTGGGTTCCATTTTTGATCCTCTACCAGAATGCCACCCACAACAGGTAACCATGAGTCAGGTGCCTATTTACTGCTAGGTGGAAAATGGGAGCATATCTCTCTCTCTCTCTCTCTCTCTCTCTCTCTCTCTCTCTCTCTCTCTCTCTCTCTCTCTCTCTCTCTCTCTCTCTTACACCTGGTTTGACAAGGTTCGGTTAAGGATCCTTAACTTTATTGACAAGCTAAGATCTGTTACCTACATCAGCTCATTTGAAAGCATTTTTATTGTTATGGGACATACAAGTAGGGAACAGGATGAATTTGGAGCCATCTGTGGGCTAGCATTTTCGTTTGATCAACTGGCTTTATCTCGTTGACATCGTAATGCTGTACGAATGTGTTCCAGACGCCAGTCATCCTGGTGACAAATGATCTCAGATGAAGTGATGTTCGGGAGAAGGTTACAGCCAGAGTGAAGTTGCTGCTGGCTGCCCGTCTTGTGGTAAAGAAGCTTGCTTCTCGATGTCCTCGAAGTGGAACCAAGTGTGGTACTTTGACAATATTGGCCTTGTACATAACAGTAAGGCCACCCACATCCCTCCTGTGTTGAAGGCTCTGCTGAAATGACAGATCTATCCAGGATGGGTCCAGGCGAGAGATGAGACGTCTTGCTCTGTTCTCTACTCTGTCAAGCAGTCTCAGATGAGAAGGGGGGAGGGGGCAGGCAAACCAAGAAAGTGGAGCATACTCAAGGTGTGAGCGTATTTGTGCCTCATATAGAATCTTGTAACCCCTACTGTCAAACAAATGCGAAATACGTCGAAGTGCTGTAAGCTTCCTGGCTGCCTTGTTTGCAAGATTTACAACGTGGTTCTTCATCGTTAGTTCGGAGCCAAATTTCTTTCACCCAAGGTTATCAGCTACTTCCCCAGGTACCAATACTCTCCCATTCATACTTCCTGCTGCTCCGGCATTACCATCATGGTGCCTAGAGACCATCATCATTTGTGTTTTCTCAGGTGCAAATGTTACCTGTCATCGGTTTCCACAAGCTGATATAGCGTTTAGCTGGTGATTGATGTAGCTTAGAGCAGCTGGCATTTCTTCTCTTGGATAAGAAAATATGAGAGAACAGTCGTCTGCATATGTATGGTATTCTGGGATGAGATGAAGAAGGTCATTGAAGTAGACATTCAATAACAATGGTCCCAGCACACTTCCTTGTGGAACACTTGCTGATTCTGTTCCATTGTGAGCTACCCTCAGAGATCTACCATGAAGGTAATCACTGAGGTGATTTGATTGAGTTTGTTGTCTCAAGAATCTTGCCAGTGATTGACAGGAGTGAAACTGATTTGTAGTTACTGATTTCTGCTCTGCTCTTCTTTTTGTAAACAAGGACTAGATATGCGTCTTTCCACAAAGAGGGCCATTTACACTGTACTAGGCAGTGCTGAAAGATGTGAGTTAGAGGTGTTGCTAGCTGGTCTGCACATCTCAGTAATCTTGGGCTCAACTTGTCAAAGTGGCCCCCGTGGCCTGGTGGCTAAAGTTCTCGCTTCACACACGGAGATCCCGGGTTCGATTCCTGGCGGGGTGGAAACATTTCGACGCGTTTCCTTACACCTGTTGTCCTGTTCACCTAGCAGCAACTAGGTACCTGGGTGTTAGTCGACTGGTGTGGGTTGCATCCTGGGAGACAATATTGAGGACTCCAATGGAAATAAGTTACAGTCCTCGATGACGCACTGACTTCCTTGGGTTATCCTGTGTGGCTAACCCTCCGGGGTTAAAAATCCGAACCAAATCTTATCTTGTCTGGGCTCACAGTTTATTTTCGGTCAAGCGATCTAAGATGCACCTCCTCCTGCCTTATTGTCACCACTGACAGTTTTGATACAGTTCTTGCAGCTAGCCAAGGAGGATCCCTTGCTGGACCAGGAACTTGCACACTGGTAGCAAAGTGTTGGGCAAAGGTCCACTTTCTCTTGACTACTAGTAGAGGTGGTCCCATCCTGTCGATTCAGAGGTGTAATAAGTTCATCAGGCAGATAACCTTGTCTGTCCTTGACCAGGGACCACCAGGTTTTGGAGCTTACTCTACCTGATGCTAGCTTTCTTTTTGTGTTCTCCTCTCATTTAGAGATGGCCCACTTTTGAACTTGCCCCATATGCCTACAGGCTTGACTGTGCAAGTTCGTTATATGTAATAGGATGTCTCTTATACCTTCGCAATGCCTTGTACTTAGCAGTTGCAGCCTCTCTACAACGAAAGCCAAACCACGACTGATCAGTAGGCTTCGTTACATACTGCCGGAGAGAGATGTGTTCTTGTTGTAGATTAAGGATGTGTCCAGTGAAGGCATTCACTTGGTTGTCAACATCCCATTGCAGAAAAGCATTCCAGTCGGCGGTGGCGAGCTCAGAGCAAAGGGCTGGCCAATTACCTCTTTCCCATAGCCAGGCGGTGCGTAAGGACTCCTCATCTCGTTCTATTGGGATCTTAAGCGTCGTAAAAACAGCCTTGTGGTCATTTGATCCAACACAGCCGAGGGATTGACAAGTAACTATACCTTCTGCCAGATCACTCACTACTGGGTGTGAGTAGTGAGTAGGGAAATCAAAGTTGCTCATATCAAACACTGCAAGAAGGTCATCAAAGTCCCTCTGTATAAGATGTTGGTTGAGGTGACCAACAATTATATTATGTTGATAGTTGTGTTGGAGCAAAAGGAAGTCCACATTTTCCATTAGAAAATTGATGGGGTCTGCATGTTGCCACTGAGGTCTGTACATTGCACATACTAGTACAGAGGTATTAATGTTTATGCATAGCTTGAAGAACATCATTTCAAGATGAGTAGGGATAGAAACATCAATGTGCTGGGTATGTACAGTTTTAGAGATGCACACAACAACACTTCCTCCTTGCCCTTGCCTGTCTCTTCTCATCCACGAGGTTTAGCCAGCAATTCTTGCAAAATTTTCTGGAGTTCTGTCGTCCAAAAATGTTTCAACAACAGCTATCATGTCGGGATGTCGAGTGTTCACAAAACTGTGTGAGAGCTCTTAGACATTGGTAATGAAACCTCTAATGTTAGCCGATAGGATGCTGATAGATTGGCTCCTCATGATGTGTTCAGCTTGATGTGATGGGTGTGCAAGGTGTGTAAGGTGCCTGCTCTTGAGAGGGGTACGGCACCATGGCAGCTGTTGGCATGTAGATCTGTGGTCTTGTATAAGGCACAAAACCACTTGCAGGGATGAGATAGGAGTAGCTGACTGGGAGACGTATGAGTGTGCTCATCAGTTCAGAGATGCTGCTGATTTGTTCTGAGAACAGGTCTCTAAAGAGGTGGTCCTGTCTGTCAAGTTCCTTTGTCTTCCGACACTGGTTCTCCTGAAGTTCCCTCTTGTGGCATTATTACACCTAGTGTCTCGCAGGAAGTTGTTAGTGGTGTGTCCCCTCCGGTGACAGCGAGAGCACTGCCTTGGTGCCTATGAGGCTGGATTCCTATTTGTGTTTCTCTCTCTCTCTCTCTCTCTCTCTCTCTCTCTCTCTCTCTCTCTCTCTCTCTCTCTCGCTCTCTCTGTATATATATATATATATATATATATATATATATATATATATATATATATATATATATATATATAATTTTTGTTTTTAGTACAATATTTGCTGAGCTGAGTCAGAAATATATCATATCCTAAAATGCATTTCGTATTATCTGTATAAATAAATATATATACTATTTTTTCAAAGGAAAAAACTCTTCAGTAGGAAAAAATGCGTATAAATTTTTATTGTGGTTGTAGCGCGAAATAAAACATTTTTTTTCCAAACATTTTTGTTGCACTAACAGCCTGACTGAACCAGACGTCAACAGAGATATCTGAGACTGGGCCGACGGGGCCATTTTCCTCTGAATCCTGTACAGTTATTCGACAGGTTGCGTGAGTTATTAATTAAGCAAACTGGTAATGGTCACGGTATCTGTTATCTGTTAAAGACTTCTCGCATCATCGTCCCTGCGAAGTCGTCAGATCAGGCAGCCTATATTGAAGAGGAAGAAGTGGAGATATATTAACTAGGAACCATTAAAAAAAACGGCGAAGAGTACAAGCAAGAGAAGAGTAAGATTTA